CCCCATATAATGTATACTGTATTGTATAAAAATAATACTTGTTACATTTTTCTATAATGTGGTTTTAAAATACTCTTTAAAAAAAATTATTTTTTGTTACGTTTATACTCCCTTTATTCTTATTTACATGTCTCCATATTAAGTTTTATGTACATCGAGAAACTAAATAAGTTTACAACTTTCTTTTTTTATTTAATGATTTTTTGAAGTTAAGTTTTTTGATTAATTAATATAAATTAATTTATTTTGATTGATTAATGTAACTAAAGAATATGAATTACTCCTTCAATTTGTCTAGTTGATGAAATATATATTTTTAAGATAACTCGCAAGTGCGAAATAAAATAAAAAAAGTTCATTTATGCATTAATTTTATGAAATGACATATATAAAGAAACTTTATATGTTTTGTTGCATTCATCATCAAATTTAAAAATTATTGAAACTGAAAATTCTCTTATTTAGACAACTAATAAAAGTAGCTGTGCTACGCGCAGTGTATAAAGTTTTCATTTTTATTTAATTTTTAAATCCAAATAGATTAGCTAATAAATTTTATTATTTAGCTTTGTAATTTCAACTCAATTCATGAATTAATTTTATTAAAAAATAAATACCTTAAATTAGCAATACGGTCAAATACCTATACTTTCTTTTTGTTGAATAGTACCTATTCTTTTATGTTAGTTAAAATATATAATTAAGAATTCATGACTTTATTATCCATTTGAATGAATTCTCAATATTAAATATGATTAACTTTGATATTTTGTTAAAAATTTAAAGTGAGATTTTTAGTCTTTTAAAAAAAAATTAAAATATCAAAAGAAATAAAATAGTAATAAATTTAAAAACAGTCTTAGAAATATGAAAAATTATTTGTAATAGATAAGCTATCTATAATTTGAATACTTAAAAAAGTAATTGATTCTTTGGAACGAAATGGGTGATACATGATTTTAGTTCGGTAAAATAATTTTTAGTGATATAAAATTAACATAAAAACAATATATTATTGTTAAAATGCATAATAAAATAAGTAATAAATGAACAATTATAAATGAATGATAAAAGTTTTTATGTTAAGATTAAAAAAAACTTATATATCTAATAAAAACTTATAATTAGACTCTTGAATTTTTTCTAAATAAAGTAAACATAAAAAAAATGTTCACAAATAATGTGAATATTTATAATCATTAACGATAAATAATATTTTCATATAATTAAAGTGTAGGAGAAAAAGTTAAGTAAATGTTTAGAATTACTATAATGGAGGATGAATGGTTAAGTAATAAGTATATTTGAAGTGATTATCTGTATTAATTTTTTCTTTGATAAATTCTCTTCTATAATTCTACATTTTTAAAAAAAATTATTTCAACGCTATTTTTTAGTATCCCTTTTTTCTTATTTTATTTTTTATTTTTTTAGTATATATATATATATATATAACATATTAGTATCCATCTATATATAATAGGAGAAAAAAAAGTGGCACGTGTCGGCACCATGATTTTTTGAGACTTTATAAATTTAAAAAATCAATTTAAAATATGAAAGTTTTTACAATTTTTTTTAAAATCTTGATAATGGTGTAAAATTCGGTGAGAGTGGGAAGTTTTCTGAATGCGAAATTGAAACTAATAAACTAAAAGAGAAATTCACATGCCTGACAGTGGTGTGGTTTGATTATGGTGGAGGTTTCTCCTCACCTCGCGTCCTAAGAGTTTGATACTCCTCTTTGGACTATGTCCAAGTTCCCCGCTAAGAAAATTTCCACGTGGTGTTGCATCCCTTTTGATGTCATCCGCATCTATGGTTTGATTTGGGAATTCATCCTCTTGGATGCTCTCGACAAAGATTGGGAAAACCTTGTTAATTGAAACTGGAATTTTTCCAGAGAGGTGTTATGTTTTACCCTATTCGAGACACATTTTTTTCTAAATATTTTGAGGTCAATCTTTATCAGTGTTGACACAGTAGATAATGGATTGATATGATGCGACATAATAATGACTTTATCGATAATGTAATATTGTTGATAATGATACTTCATTGATAAAATGATGTTGCTACATTGATGATGAAGATGTTGATGGTCGATTGATAAGATGATATTGCTACATTGATGGTCCATTGGCAGGATGATATTAATCTAATGATATGACGATGTTGTCAAAGCTTTACTGGTAAGATGATATTGCTCTCTTGGCATTGGAAGAAGCAATGACTCTTTCGAAATTTGAAGATGCAATGGCTTTCTTGGCGGTTGAAGATGCAATGGCCCTCTCGGCGTTTAAATGCAATGGTCCTCTCGGCTTTCTAATGTAATGACCCTCTCGGCGTTTGAAGGTGATGGACCTCTCGACATTTGGATATTCAATTGCCCTTTTGGCGACTTGAATGCAATGTCCCTCTCGGCATTTGAAGATGCAATAGCCCTCTTGGCATATAAAGATGATCGCCCTCTCGGCGTTTGAATGGCCCTCTTGGTAAATGAAAGTGATGGACTTCTCATCATTTGAAGATGCCCTCACAACGTTTGAAGATGCAGTGACCCTCTTGGCATATGAAGATGATGGCCCTCTCAGCGTTTGAAAATGCAATGACCCTCTTGGCGGCTTGAATGCAATGACCTTCTGGCATTTGAAGATGATATTCCTTTCGGCATTTGAGATGATGATCCTCTCGGTAATTTGAATATGCAATGACCCTCTTGGTGGTTTGAATATGTAATGGTCCTCTTGGCGGTTTGAATATGTAATGGCCCTCTTGAAAATGGAAGATGATGTCCCTCTTGGCGGTTGAAGATGTAATAGCCCTCTTGGTGGTTTGGAAATGATGACCCTCTCGGCGTTTGAATGTACAATGACCCTCTTGGCATTTGCATATATGATGGTTCTCTCGGCATTTGAAGATGCAATGGACCTTTCGATAATGAAAGATGTAATTTCCTTCTTGGCGATTAAGGATGCAATGACCCTCTCGGTGTTTAACTGCAATGACTCTCTCTGCAAATGAAGATGATGGCCTTCTTGGTGTTTGAAGATGCAATGGTCCTCTTGGCGTTTGAAGATGCAATGACTCTCGACATTTAAAGGTGATGAACCTCTCGACGTTTGAAGATGCAATGACCCTCTTGGCATTTGAAGATGATGACCCTCTAGGTGGTTCCCATTACCGCGTCTCATATTGAAGGAATTTGTGAATATTATTCATATGTAATTTGATATCATTGAATATTTTTGTGCACGTTGAGTGGTGCTTTCGTTTGTTCCTACTTTGAACATTTTAAGTTTATTGCGACTCATGCTTTGTTGGAGATTTGGATGAGGTGTTGTTGCTCATATTTTGAACGGCTTCTTTTTCTTTCAAAGAACTTCAATAACTGTCCTACATCCACATAAAAATTGTTTATTTCGGACAGTTGCTCGCCGTTTGAATTTTCCATATTCATTGAATGGAGGAATATGTGATGTTGAGATAATCTTATAAATTTGCATCCAAAGAAAAGTTATTAGTTTTAAACAAACTTAGAAGTTTGCTCCTTGTCTTGTTATCTTCAGTTGATCACTTCGATCTCTTGCTTCTCAATAAACACAAGTGAGATTATACAAAACATTTGACATATTAAAGAGTCTTTAAGGAAAAGAACGTTTTGGAGAATCAATTTAGGAAATATCACTGTCAAATGAGCTTAAATCAACGTCCATGGTTCAAACTTTTGGCAAGTCCGATGGCTTGTTTCTGGAGAATTCAGCTTGAGAAATTTCTGACTTCATTCTCCCGAAGTCCTCATAATTGGAAAGTTTTGTAGTTGACTGAAATTCATAAACTGATGTTGCTACATTGAAGTTTGTTTCATTTTTAACATTTGATGCTCCCGCTATAGTTTTACAAAATCTCAAAAATTAATATTTACATATAGCACATTTTATATTATTTTAGTTACGATAATACTATAAAAATACAATTAGATTTAGTTTTGTAATAATTAAAAAAGCATAATCATATTTTATAATATCCATGTAACACGCGGACAAGAATACTAGTAAAACCTTATAATCAAGTACATCTAAGAACTTCACTATGTCTATTTTATGATGTGAACTTTACGAAAATAATTAATCAAATTCACTGTTTGCACAAATGATATACTCTTAACACAATATGGGATTAAAAAAACACAAGCACGAACATCTGCAACTTTAGATGTCACTTGTCTCGACAGGCTATAAGCACCCGCAACTTTTTCAACAAAATCAGATAGTCCTCCCAAAATTTTCAATAAAATCCCTACTAAATTTGATGGTAACAAGAAAAAGAATAACAGAAAAAGGTCTGATACAACGAGCCAACAAACAACAAAACCAAAGTTTTCATTCTTGTCAACATGACTCAATAAAAGAAACCAAGAACTTTTCCACCAACATTCTTTCTCCTAGCCTCTTCATGGTCCATGATACCAGCTGAGGTAGTCAGCACAATGTACCCAAACTGCAAGTTGAAAACCAATATGCAAAGATCAACACATAAAATAGACACAATAAAACTGACAAACAAGTACGACTTTTACTGCATCTCTGATCACAGAAAATGTCTGCAATTTCATTTGCTTAGTATCAAGTATAGTATGAACTACATATGACACTTCAATCCACAGAATGACTCTTGAGATACTTCTTCAAAGAAACACGCTTCTCATGGACTAATACAAATATAACTGCAGATCGAGACTCTGTTAGCCAAGCCATAGGATACAAAATTTCCCCTTTTGGTAATAGAGGAATGCTTCCTTTACAGGAGAGCCTCAACTGCTAGCATCTACAAAGAGCGCTTGCTATGTGACAATTATAAATGGATGGGTCTTGTAAGCATTAAAGATGATTGCCCCAAGTAGTCAAGATTTTTAATGCTTAAGAAGTAGCAATAATTTTCAAATATCATTTCTTCCCTTTGAAACAAAACTACTTTTTTCAAATTTCACAATGGAACATTGGTTAAACGCCCAAGTAGCAAGCCAATTCATGATTCAGCAAAGAAGAAATCAAGGATTATTAATGTCTATTTCACAAGATAATATGACCACGA